GGCCGCTCGGTATAGGCCCCCGGCGCGGGCAGCGGCGGTGCCCAGCCCGGCACCTGTCCCCGGGTTTCCCACCCCGGGTGCCCCGCTGTCCCCGTCACGGCCGACTCCGCACTGCCACGGGGATGGTTTGCCTCACCCCTCACCCCCCCTCGCGTCGTCCCTCCGCCAGGGTTTCGCCCGCTCCCCTTCTGAGTGGTTTGGGCTCCAGTTGTTCTTTCTACACGCGAGCAGCTCTGCCGAAAAAGTTGTAGCAAATGGGTAATTTGATTATTCCCACTATAGGCCAACTGCCTCAGCGGCCTTCCCCCACGCGTCTGGCTGGGGGCAGAGAAACCATCTCCAAGGAATAATCAAATCAAGGCGAAGTGTGGAAAAACCCCTTCTGATTTCCAGGCGACACAAATAGAATTAGAGCCTCCCATTTGCTTCACCCCGTCTTTTTTTTTTTTTCCCTTCCAGAAGAGCCTTTTTGTTTTGGTCGCAAACTCTGGTCCAGCCGGGCAGCGCGGTGTGCACAGGATGCGCGGTGTGCGCGGCGGCTGGCGGCGCGGTGGGGTAGGGTGATGGAGTAAAACAGGCCGAGTATGTAAAAGCCACTTTTCTTTACTCTCTTTCGACACTGAGAGGGGCCCGGTCCGCTCCCCTCAGGCTGCGGGAGGAATGCTCGGAGGCAGAGGAACAAAACGGGGAACAGCGGGCCTTTGTGCGGCCGCCGCCGGCCATGGGAAAGCGCCTCCCGGGTCCCGCTTCGATCGCGCTGCGACGCTCCCATCCTCCGGAATAAAATGTTACATACTGGCGAGGGTTTCTTTGACATCGCTTTATTCGGAGGGACCGGCTAGAGCATCCCACTCCACAGCGGCCAGTCCCCTGAGGTGCGGGCCTCCCCAGGTCGGGGTGCGCAGTGCAGCGCGCCTGCAGGGCCCGACCCGTCACTGCCCCCGCAGCTGCAGCGGGTGACAGGACCGAAGGGGCCGGTGACACGTGTTGGCTGTCCCCCGGTTAGAGCGCGTGCGGGGACATGCTCCTGCTCCCGCCGCTTCCGGGACTCTACCTCCCACGCCAGAGAGAAAAAAAAATCACACTTTTTGTTCTCCCTTCTGCCCCGCTCCCACTGGCTGCGCTCCGCGGCCCTACTCGGCCGCCCTCCCTCCCCGCGTCTCTCCACGCTAGCTCAGAATGCCAGGTGACTGGATGCGCTCTTGGCTGATCTTCTACTGCCTAATCAGTCGAGATGGGGGATTTGCAATAGTAATGATGATGGTGATGAAGAAGGAGGACTACTACTACTACTACTACTACTACTACTACTACTGCTACTACTACTAATCCTTTTTTAATTGCTCCATCCCTCTCCTGGCTGCCCGGCCGTGGCTTTCGGGAGGTGGCCAGCAGAGGGATCTGAGCTTTGCTTTTTCCCCCCGGTCGCGGCTGCCGCGGCGGCGACGGCAACATCTGCTGGGCTAGAGGAGACAGGGCGATTGAGCAGACACACAGATGTAAAAGTGACATCTGCTTGTGACAAAGGAGCGGGAATTAGATTAGGCGGGGAGGCCTTTCTGCGATTAGGAGGGGGGAAAAAAAGAAAAAGAAAAAAAGGAAAGGAAAATACTATCTCTTCAGACTATTTAAGCAGGGGAAGAGGTTGTGAAAGGCAGAAATGCTCGATGGGCAGCTGCTAGGACAGCCGGGGCAGCACAAGGGTCCTGGGAGCTGAAATAGCCCTGAGAGAAGGCTTTGCTTTTCCCTCTAGAAGCAGAAATGTGGCCGGGTCAAAGCTTTCCATCATTACGAGCAAAGGACAGCAAGCAGCAGGACAGCAAGGACAGTGCTGTGGAGACTCGGGCACCAGCAGAGATGCCCTCCTGCAGCTCCTGACCACGTTGCTGGCACTGGCTAGGCAGAGAGATCCAGATCTGGACACTTCTTTGTTCACTGATGGAGGTTCATATACTTAAAAATAAGGAGGCAGGAGGCCTGACTGTTGCTTGCCTTATGAACTGTCTAATTTTGGTTCCATTCATTAAAAAAACAAACAAGCAATCAAAACCAAACCACAACCACAAGTTTAAGTTTAGGCACGTTTGGTAAAGCAGAAACACACCCAGCAGAGACTTTACCTGCACCAACCTGCACTGCTTAGAAAGAAGAAAAGCACCCCCCACATTTCAAATGATGTAGTCTGTTCTGCAAGCAGTATAATTTTCACAGTTATATTAATACTGATATTGAATATCATTGAATATCATGCCTTTTTTTTTAAGCTCCAGCACTTTTATATCTGGGAATACTTGGTGCTCCTACAGAGAAACACAGGGGAGAAATAGTAGGACTGAATAATATTTCAAATGGTAGAAAAAATGTGCTGTATTGCAAAAATAGCAAGTTACAGCCATGTGATGTGTTGTGCACTGGGGCAGATTTAGTAATGCCTCTTATTGGGCCTTGCCTCTAAACTTGATGAAGTTGATCAAAAGCTACTGAACCTTTTAAAGACTAG